AATTAAGACATGTGGAGTATTCCTATCTATCGCATTACTGAAGTGCAGTATAGACATGTACACACCTTAATCACATTATTACCGTCGTGTAGGACTTTTCACCGCATTTTGCGACAGGATACATACACGGCAGTGCTCAACCGTTTGATGGCAAACAAAAGAATGGCTTCAACAACGCCGTCGTCTGTTTGCATGACATGTATAGCATGACAAATAATTAATTGCGCTTGAAGCTTTCAGTAAATTAAAAATGAAACACCCAAAACTGTATATGGCATCATAACGAAGATGAACTACATTTGAAATTCTGGAGGGGATGTCAGATGGCGTCGCATGGTGACGTAATGACGTGTGCCATTAATCGATCTATGTACTATAACATGTAAAATGGGAACATGAAAGGAATATTCTAAAAGCAACTCATGTAAACACCTTAATTGTAATATTGTCTTATTCAGAATAAGGTAAATAATTAGATTACTGATGTCCATGTAAACGTTGTCACTGAGACAGAGGGAAGTGTGTGCTTATATAGTGCTAGAAGAGTAATGAGCTGATGATGAACAAGTGTCTAGTTAGTACTTGGGTGATTGGGTGCATTGAGTGGTGGAAGAACCTGGCGTGACTGTAATTTGTCTTCCTTGATATGCTTTTTTAATTCTGAAAAACCGGTAGTCACTTGCATTTTATGGATCACCAAGCACCATGGTTCTAGCTAAAAATCATCTTTCATTCTACTCAAGAAAAAAAAGTAACCTACATCTTGGATGGCCAGAGAGTGATTTTTGGGTAAACAATCATTTTAATGACGCTATAATCTCCACCCTAACACTGGTCTGAGACTGCTGTCTGGTGCTGCTGACCTCAGACTACTGTGACATATGGATCTGCGTTTCTGCAGTTGGTTATTATTGGATTCCACAAAGTTATGCTGAAGTAACAAATTAAAAACAAAAGAATACAAGAATGTAGCAAGCTAAATGCGAGATGTAAGAAACTAATAATAAATATAGGGGTTTTTGTAAAAACATTACATTTTAAAAAGAAGAGGTGTGGATTTAACAAAAAGGAACCATTGCAACAGAGTTTTAAAATTGACCCGAATTATAAGTTCATTAAATAAAATGTTATACTGAAATATTGTATAAATATTAAATATCTGTTAGTAAGCACTGGGATATTTCACTGTTCATAACACCCTATTGTCTGTGGTTTCAGCAATAGGCCATCAATAGTTCATATTATGTTCACTTGCTTTTCCCCAAAAGGCTTTTTTTCTTTTTTTCTTTTTTCTCTCAGCACTTCTAGCATGACATTTGTGTAAAATCCTTTCTTTCATTTCAATAATTTCTTTAATTTCAAGATTAACCCCAGATTCATATGAAATGAGTCTGCCAGTTTCAGTTTGTTGGACAATCACAGCAATAAAAACTTCAGCTTAAGAGTTGTGAATGTGGTTTGATTGCGTTAACACTTTGCAAGTGCTAATTTGGCACTGTGGGGGTCTAGTAAACAAACAAAGGAGACATACTTTCCATTTGAGGTTAAGACGACTGTGAGAACTTCATAAACATAAAGGTATTGGAAAAACACTGCACTTGTTTCACAGTTAAACCTCCACTCTAGACAAAGGTGAGAGTCGTTGGTTGTCAAGTGTCAAAGCCAGTGGAACATGTTTCTGGTTTTGGTTTAGCACGTCAGTTTAGTTGAGTTGAAAATAACACTACATAGTTTTTTTTTTGTTTTTTTTTACTTAAGAAATTGCATAGTATGTATTAATGTATACAAAACTACTTGCATATAAAATTAATACATATTTTGTTATATATATATACATATTAATATATATGAGATATGACAGGCCATTTTCGAAGAACCACTTTAGACTTGACTTTTATTTCTCTCTTTTTTTTTTTGTTTAATTTGTACTGATTTATGATTAATCTGGAAATGCTGCTAAATGTATGTCTGCGCTCATATAGTCACAAGCTTCTAATTCATCAATATGGACACTATTTAATATGACATTGAAATTTCATTGACTATTTGCATTTGTTATTGAAGTAAAATGCTATTTACATTAGAAAGTATAATTCATTACTGGGGGACTTTAATAATAACCAGCTAAACAATTTAGAATATCGTAGAATATTAAGAATGACATACTCAAACACACACAAAAACATACACAAATAAACATATTTATTCATAAAGAAGCAACTTCATAATAAAGGTAGATTTTAATATTTTGTTAAAACAGGCAAAAAACAAACAAAAAACATGAGTGCTGAGTTCGAGAAAAGTAGGTTGACAAGCACAAAATTTCACACTAACAGACTTTACCATCTTATTATCATTTAACTGATTATGCTTACTTTTTAAGATACAGATTAATTTATACAGGTATTAATTAAACCATTTTGACAAACAGTCCTTTGCATGTTATAAAATCAAACCTCTTCTCAGTCCAACAGCAATGAAAACTCAGCTGAACAGGCTTCACAAAAATAATAAATATTGTGCACACTCTCCATTCATATATATATATATATACGTATATGTATGTATATGTATGTATCTACAACCACTCACAAAATTTCTACCAGATGCAGCTTAAGACAGCTATTTCAGAGAAGCAGTAAGACTAGTAAATATAAACGTTCTTAAATGCTCATTTCACCTGAAGCAGGGTTTTTCAAAGTTTTTGATACCACCGACCCGCAAATATAATGACTATTTCAAGACCCACCAAATACAAAAGCAGGTACATATTATTATTATGTATAAAATTTTTTATAAAATAATTATACAATGAAAAAAAGTGTCTTAATAGAAAGTAAATATTTTCCAGGTAATATTTTCCACACATTATTAGAGTACTTTCAGATATACACATAGAGAGAAATATAAAACTATAACTGCCAATTCAATAAATAATTGTGATTAATTTAATGACTTCTAACCAGTTTTACGAAAGTAGAATGAAATATGAATAATATCAAATGTAGTCGATTTTTAACATTTTATTTTATTTGACATTTTTTACAGTATTTTTCTGACCTTTCCTCAGAGTTTCATGGCTGAACATCAAGAATAAAAATATAAGTGTAAAATCAGTCATACTCATGTGTTCATGACTTCGGCAGGTTTAGAGCAGCATAGGTGCTGTTGATTTGGCTGGACCGAATATTTCTACGCAGTTTGGAAAAGTCCACCGTGGCATACTGAAAGAGCAATATTAGTATTTTCAGCTGCAGTTAACAAAAAATAACCAAAATGAAGTGTTATAGAACGCTATTGTATGGGTCAGCAAGAATCCTCAATAAGTATCAAGACAGAAATTAATTTTAGTTATGATGATGGTTTCACATATTCTTACATGTAATTGCTCCTGATGCTGTTCTATAACTTGCGTCTGCTGTAGATCAGTGTTGAGTTGCTCTGATTGTTCTTCAGACCTTCTGTTTCCAACAACAAAAACCTTTACTAGTCCTAAAAAAAGTGTTTCAGATTCAGCATTTGTGTTTGTCACATAAATGGCACAATAATAATAAAACAGTCAAAAGCCTGAATTAAGAATATTTACATATTGAATTAACTTCAGCTGACTAAAATCATGATATAATAATTTTTACAGATGGCTGAAAATATCTCACCGATCACCACAATAACCAGAAGCCCATTCATCAGTCCAAATATGATGATAATAATCTTCCATTGTGTCTGAATCTGCTCGGTATACTCAGTCACTGTATGATTGTGACACTCAGTTAACACAGTTAGTTGAGCTGGTTCTGTAATAAAAGTGTCCAGTCTGTTACTGTAAAAAATTTTACTGTTAGTGCAATGGCTACATATTTGTAGCACTGAAAATGATACAAATATAGATTTTAGGATTGGATCATTATTGCAGTGATTAATGTTTCAGGCATGCTGTGTATTTGACAACAGTTCTTTTAATTCTAAGTGATGCAGTGTGTAGCTTTTTATTTCTCGAACAACAATGTCGGAAGACCCATGTACATATTCCAGAATGACAATACAAAGATAACACTACAAAGATCAGACTCAAATTGTGAAATAGTGGCTTAATGAGCATGAAAAATCATTTTCTTGAATGAATTGGCCACCACAGAGTCCTGATCTTAACTCTATTGAAAGTCTTTTGGATAAACATTGGTCGAAACAATGCCACAAATAACATATTAATCACTGCAAAAATGATCTATTCCTAATTTTAAAATGTAGGTAGTTAATAACTAATATATAAGCTGTGATCATCAGTATGTCTAGATCACTGAAGGAGCAAATGAACTCACCAGTGAAGTGCAGTCTGGTGCTGTTGCTGAGTTTTGGAGGTGTGCGTGTGTTCATACAGTAATAAACTCCTAATTCATCAGCAGTCACATTATTAATAACCAGATGATGTTTAAACTGCACTGAATATTTGTTTCTGAAAGTTTTATTATAGTAATGAGGTGATATTGGTGTTGGAAATGTTCGTAGAATCACTGTCGGAGGATCTGATGTTTTCAGTAAAATCCAATAAACCTCATTTTCATCAAGATCACAGTTTATGATCACATTTGATCCCAGATCAGTTAGTAGATCTGACACTCCATACTGACAACAGATTAATACCACTGTGTGAAGAATAAAAAAAAAATATTATAAAAGTCTTCAAAGAATATATGGTAAAAATATTAATAATCTGTAAACTTACAGAGCTGAAGCTGAATGATCTTCATGTTGTTGTCTTGATCACTTCAGAATAAAATCTGGCTCCCTCCACAATGTGTAATGAAGTCACTGCAGGAGAAGACAAGAAAGACATACACATGAAGAAGAGGAAGTCAAGTTTGACCACACTGTTTTAACACACAATGATCCATGACCTCAATAACGAAGAGCCTCATCACTTCATTAACCGTGTACAAATTCCAGTTATGGGGCCCCGAGACACCAACTTTTGTTACCCTTATCATGCTGTCTCTCTCTCATTGTTTGTAGTTTATTTACCCCTACAGAAATTGTTGAATAAAGTCATTATTTTTGTATTCTTTGCACACAAAAAGTATTCTTGTAGCTTAAGGGAAAGTTACTTTAAATGTAATGCATTACAATATTGCATTACTCCACAAAAAAAAAACTAATTGTGTTACTTAGTTACTTTCTATGGAAAGTAATGCATTACGTTACTTCTGCGTTACTTTTTGTCACCTGGGCTGGGCTTGCTTATTTGTTTTT